TGGCCTAGATCGCTGTTAGCCATGATTCCACTCCTCTCCTCTCGTGTGTTTTATTATTTTTTTTTTTCATCTTTGCTCCTCTCGTCTCTCTCCGCGCGCTTCCTAACGTGCCTTCCTCAGACGCGCTCGGCGCTGCTAACTGACCCGAAAAGGAGCCGGCTACAGCTATCGCTCTGAGTCACCGGCCAACACATACACTTACACAACTCCCCCTCAGCGTCCCCAACACCGGGGGAGTGCGCGCACAAAAGGACGCATGCTCTCCAGCAGTACGCTTTCTCCCGATTGACCAGGGATGCCCTCCCTCCCGAGTCTCTGCGCCCCACCTCTCATCCCACGTATCCGGGCGTATTTATTCAGCGTGACACTTTTATCCCGACGTGAATCGCAAAGGCCACTCGCAGCCGGGCAAAGGCCCCCGGAAAAAGCCCCGACGGGTTGAGGGGAGCGGAGGGTTAAAAAGCGCCACTCATGCACGCAGGCTTTGTGTAGATCACCAGCCCATTGAGAGCGCGTATCAGGTAGAAAAAGAGAGGACCGCTGAAAGGCGGCCTAAATGGATCTCCTCTGAAAAAGGCCAATCGCGCAACACAAATACGAGGTTTGTTTTTTTGGCACGTATTCCCACTTCTATTTCTGTCTGGCAGCAGGAGCCCGAACAGCCGGGGTAGTCCGTTCTCCTGCTGGCTGCGGCCAGTTTGAGCGTGAGCAGCAGCAACGGCGAGGATAAAACCCTGGCGATCTGATCCCCGCTCGAACGCTCGAGGACACGGATCCGCCGGGCCTCGAGCGCACGGTGTCGAAAGTCCCATCGTGTAACGCGCCACGTCCAGAGAAGTGACTCATCCGTAGTGGAGTGAGATGTGTCATGAGTCACCAGTGTTGGGACTCGGAAAAACAACAACACCGGAGCCGCGTGCGAACATCTCGCTGCGCGGCAGGAGGGAAGTTTCCCCAACAAACGGGTCGAAAGGGAGTTGATGTTTTTTTTATCTGTCTCTCAGACATCACACTTTTAGTCAGTGATGTTCTCAAAGAAGGGCTGCTCGGTTAAAGGATTCCCAAAAGCATTTTACACGTCGGCATTTAGCCTATTCTGTCCACTTCTGGGGACTGGACAACAGAGGGGACGCTCGTTTTGCCGCAAGCAGTCGATTAGTCGCGACAGATATCCGCCGCCAAATTATGTCCCCTATCGGTTCGTTCGACACATTGGACTTCAGATCGAGGTGGACTGGCGGGCACCGATTGGCCGGTAATCGGAACACGGAGCTCACAGATGCTGTACAAACGAAAACACAACATGGCCACGCTCAGTCGCACATGCACGTGGCCACTTATTTGTTTTTATATTCATTAAGCCAGCAATTTGTTCTCATGTTCCGCGTTTTTTTTTTGTTGTTTTTTTTGTTTTTCTCGGCCCCTCCGTTCCCAGAGCTTTTTGGAGCTTGGTGCCCCGTCACCATGGAATCAAACCTCTGAGAACAACATTTTTTGGCGGGGGGAAACGATTTCTTTACACTCGCTTTTTACGTTATTGGCCCGTCAGGAAGGACTGATGAAACGATTGAGCCACGTGAGCGTTTGACTGGCCCTGAGTTTCGCCCCGAGACGTTTCAGTGGTGGATTAAAAGCACCTCGCAGTCGCGAGCCACTGAAGACTAAAATTAAATGACATTTTTTTCGTGTCGTCTTTGCGTTTGGAGGCTGTTTCAGACTGAATCCGCAGAAAGGAAACGAACAAAACAACATGGCTGAAAAACGCTGGCAGTGTATCATGCCCCCCCCCCCCTCTCCCATTTTACCACTTTACACAAACTGGGTGATCAGCTTTCCTTCTCCAGCTCCACAAAGGAGCTCTCGTTGCTTTATTCCTGTTTTTAATCCAGGTTAGCTCCTTCCTGGTGACCCAGAATGACTTTTCTCCACCCACTATCTTTATCCTGTCTGCGAGTGCAGTCGGTCTAAGGAGGGCTGATGCAAGGTGACGTCACCTGCTGTTCCATTTGGGTTACAATGATTCCTTTTTTTTTTTTTTCTTCTTTTCTTTCCCCCACCATGCAGTTAAAGGCCTCATCTAAGCTGACAAATTTCCTGTCTCTGTCTCTGCGAGGGAACCAAATGTAATGAATTCAGAGCGTCTCATTAGAGGATTGCAGCTCATGTTCGCATTATTACCACCGGTTATGTAACAGATTGGGTTTCTTTATACAACAAGGCGAAAATTCCTCACATTTTAATGATGTTCTGGTCTATTTTTAAGCGTTCATTCATTCAGTTGATTATCGAATTATTGCAAGAAAAACACCTCGAGGGGGCAGCTTTTTCTCCGCGCCGGGAAAACTTCGAAAAACGAGCGAGAGTCTGCCCGACGGTTTTTGGGCGCCCTGCGTCCTTGGAAGCCGCCGTAGTCGGCGCGACCGCCCAGGCGCGCCGTGCGCATCTGTCGGCGAGGATGCGAGGGACGTCGGCACTCAGTCGGATCTCAGTCGGGATGCGGTGGGGCTCAGATGAGCTGCCGGGGGAAAACGTGAATAGAGCCAAAGTCGGGCGCCAGGGCCGGTGATCCGTGGACGGCGCCGGGCAACGAGAGAACGGTTTCAGACGTCTTCCCAGGCAGACGAGCAGAGAGAGGGGAAGAGCGGTCCTTGTAGTTTTGTGTACCAAAAGAGGATGTGTGTGTGCAGCAGGCACTTAGCCCTGCCAGCCCAGCGGGGCTGACAGTGTCGAGATTGATGACACACACACAAACACGTATTTGCTGCTTGTTAGCGGGGACTATGATCAAACTGCAATCTCCCAACTCCAATCTGAGGCTACGCGCTTTCTGGTTGCGATCACTCTGCTAAAACCACAAGAGGCCGACCAGTGCTGCAGTCGTTAAAGGTTAGCTTCAAAGCTTTTTTTTTCCCTCTTCTTTTTTTTCCCTCTCTCTCTCTCTGGAAATGCTGATACCGTCTGCTTTCGCTCGGCATCAGCAGGAAACAAAAAAGGAGCACAGCTGCCTGGAGATGAGGATGCTGCTTCTTTTGGTTGACGGAATGGCCCAATGTTGCAGAAGGAAGGGAAGAAACTGAGACTTTTTTTGTTTTAGTGTCAGTACTGCGGGTGATAAACTGGGAAAGTCCCCCCCAGCTCGCTGTCTGCCAGATGCCGCCGTCCTAACGCCGCTCTTATGTCACAATATTGAGGCGATCCGGGTCGACCGCGGTTTGTTACCGAGTCGGCGGGCCGGACCGCGGCGTTCACAGGTGCTGCTCCGAGAGAGGTCAGGAGCCGGGAGACAGATGGCGCGCTCTCACGCACACGTATCCTCCCACACACTTTTAACTCTCCCAAAGGGACAGTGATCTATTGTGCAGCTCGGATGGGCATCGCTGCGCTCGCGCGTGCACAAATACACACACACACGCGCGCAAACAAGCACTCCTGCACTCCAACCAGGCAGGTGTATTACCATGAAAGGGTTAAAGCGGTTATTACTGCTAATAAATCATTTTGATTGCTGTTTCCCTTTATAGGCCGCGCCATTACGGGTGTTACAGTTTACGAACTAGCAACATTACCAACAGCGTTACTGATAGTGGAGCATTTCTAATGTTACGATAGCCTAACCCAACCTAAGATTTATGAGAGACGGACATGGACAGGTCCAACAGAGACAAAAAAAAAAGGAAAAGTGTTAGTTTATTGGTTAGGGCCTTGCTAGTGCATTCAGTCGAGTGCAGAATTAATGTTTCCATCTCTGGTAGAAATTCCAATTGATGGTTAATGTTTTTGTTTTTTTACAAGTCAAGTTACAAACATCACTAGATGGAAACTAATGGCTGTTCCAGACTGAATAATGGCAAACTACTAGCTTACGATTTCATAAGATTCACTAGAACGCACCACATTTGCTTATTTGCAAAAACATCAGCATAATAACTCAACCGGAAAGAGAAAGCGAGGCCCCGTTAAACATCAGCATGTCGGCGACAGCGCCGTGGTGAAATGACATCCGTACTCTTACATGCTTTTGTCGTCGGTCGGAACAACAAACCCTGACCATTTCTGTGCTCGGCCGCAGATAAAGCTGGGAAAAACCTTGGGAGTTTGGTCAAAGCTGTAAAAAAAAAAAAAAAAAACGTATTGTATAATGTAATAAAAAAGATATCCCCGGCTGCTTGCAGTCATTGTATTACCCCCCCTCCCATTTTTATTCCGGAGCTGTTTTTGCCGGAACAGACTCGTCATTTGGGAGCCGGAGCAGCTTTCTAGCGGGCCCAGATTTAGGATTTAAAATGCAACAAAGAAAAAAAAAAAACTTGAGCACAACACAAAAATTCCCTGTTTATTAGTCGGAGTTATAAATAGCTCTGACAGACAGCGACGGGTGGTTTATCTGTGGATCAGAGGGAGTCCATGCCTCTTGTATCAGTCATCACCTTTTATCATCCCTCCCTCCCCCCCCCTTCTGCCCCCCTTTTCTCCCCCTTTCCCTGCTGTCTCCCTTTCCCCTCTCCCAACCATTGCCATTTAGGGTATCCGTGCCACGCTGCCAGTACTGAGGAATGCAGGGCCGTGCGCGCCTGTGCTTGTGCGTTTGCAGACGTCCCCCACCTCGTGCGGTTAACCGTTTGGTAGCTTTAACGAGCGTGTTGTTGGTCGGTCGTGTGCAGAAAGAAATACAAATAAAAAAAACCCTACCCGGGCTCGCGGGCGGGCTTCCACACTCGCGGTGGGTCTTTGTGCGAGCGCTCAGGTGCGTGGGCGTTTTCACGTGTCAGAGGTGGTTTGTGTGCGGAGGCGTTTGTGAGCGCGTGCGGGCATTAGACACTCATCGTTTTACAACACACCGAGCAATGGAGGCATCTGACCCTCAATAATAGATGTGGCTGCAGTGAATATTTAATAAGGGGGGGGTTGCAGATGCCTGCACACTTTTACACTTATGGGTAAATTTAGCATCCGCACATGCAGGGGGTTTTAGGCTGAAGCTGGCCTCTGTCATTTAGGTGATGCTCTCGGTAAAAAAACACACGCACACACACACACACACACACACACACACACACACACACCCTCCTCAGACGTCTCTCTGCTCTCCGTCCATAGGGCTCTCAGGACAGCGCTGGCGGTCAGGAGGGGCTCGTCCCGCCGCCTTTCTCCGCCTTCCCGCCCCCCCCGCCGCCGCCCCCCCAGAACGGCCTGGCCCTGGACTACGGGGGCAGCCTGTACGCGGCGGGGGCCGTCCAGGGCCCCGTGGAGGCCGGTGGAGCAGGAACCGGGGGGGCCAACGCCTGCAGCAGCCTCAGCGTCCAGGTGAGTGCCGGCCTCTTCCACCCCCACCCCCCCAGGTGTTTGTGAAAGACGCATGTGACAGGTTTATTATACACTGTAGTTTGAAATGAGCAATAAGCGCTAATACCAATAATTTGAGCGGTGAGCCATGCAGACGACAGCTTTCAGTATCCCCGTCCTTCTCCATCTTTCAATCTCTCCGTGCTGAACTGAGTAGGGCCTTTTTTTTCTTTTTCTTTCTTTTTTTCTCCCGCAAAGTGAAACACTAAAAAAAAAACCTATGCTATTCACGTTGAATATTGATTTTTGACAGCCGCTTAATAAAAAGAACAACTGAGGTTAGAAAATGGAGTTTGGAGGTACCCTCCAGTCATTGCCAGCAGGCCAAATCACTTGTGGAAGAAGTCTTATAAGTTCAGTCTATAAGTCGTGCGAATATATTGTTTCTACTTGCCCCATGACCCAAATTCTCCTCACTGCTTGTTCTTAAATTTTAGATGAAACATTCAACCTCTTCTTCAATCTTTACCCTCAAACTTTTAACAGAAGGCATCGAAAGGCAAAGAGGCATACCACTGTTTTCTTCTTCTTTCGCCATCAATGATTTAAAGTTTTCTTCCAGGCAATTCTGAACTCGGTTCAGATCTAAATGTTGCTAGCTAATGTGGATAATGCTATTAGTATGAATGCAAAAAAAGATAGTTGAGAAATTTGAGAATTTTTTTTCTTGTTACTGTTTTTACAAAGCAGAAATTGCTTGAATAAAAATAAAACCTTTCAATTATGCCTTTTAATGTCCTTTGCCAATTGGGAGGATAATCTGATATTTTGCCAAGAAACCTACACAAAGCCCATCCACCAGAAATTATTCATCTCTGCGTCTCTCCTTTTCTTTTGACTGGCATTTTTGGGGTGTCTGCTCTCTGTTTTTAAAATATTTAAACCCCCCCCCTGACGCATTCAGCTCGATCATCGTTTATTTAACACAATCTGGGCCAAAATCCGGATGCGGCGTTCGGGGGAAAGCTAAATGCGTCCTTACTGTTGTTCTAGAGACGATGCGGGCACGGAGCAGCCAGGTGCTGATCATTTAGTCTGATTGAATATTTGGTAATCGGCAGGTGCGAGGGCCGCCGTAAAAGCTTTCGGATGGAGAGGAATTAGCGAATCCATCATGGACGAGGCTAGCCAGAGTTCCACCCGAGACTTTTGACACGAGCACAGGACGTGCCGTTTAGTGTTGTGAGTCTCTATTCTTCCTCTATGCTCATTGTGGTCCTGTGTCTGCTCGGCCCTCCAGTCCGACGGGTCCTCCCAGATCGACGGGCAGTCCGGAGTTGGCTCGGGAGGGGGAGGTGGCGGGGGCGGGGGCCCCGGGGACGACACGGACGCCAAGGGGACCCCGAAGCGCCTCCACGTATCCAACATCCCATTCCGCTTCCGAGACCCCGACCTACGACAGATGTTTGGGGTATGCCGACCGAAAAAACAAAAAAGACAAAATTCCTCTTTTTCACCGCGAATTGTTACAATCGAAAAAGATTCAACAGCCAGAAGGATTTAACTGTCATTCATCTGTCAGTCTATAGCCAGCGGATGTCTTATTATCCTCAAGTGTGGCTTTTCAATAGATGAATAAAACATAAAGGTTCTGTCATCTCTGTTTATGCTAAGACGAATCAATAAAAGGGGAATCCTGTTATTATTCCGAATTTCAAACCGCCAGCCGGTGGTTTAAAACCAGATGTTACGGTTTGGCCTCGAGCGCGGCTGTTTTGTCCGAGGGAAAGCCTTTTCCGCGGCGCATGCTGAGAGGAGGACAGACTAGGAAGATGTGGGAGAAGACCAGAGCTGGCCGGGCTCCAGCTCGCCAGCGCTGAGCAGTGCTGACCCCCTGTGGTGAAGCGTGCCGTGCTTCCACAGCCTCCTCATTTTCCTCATCCTCTTTGTTGTTTCAGCAATTTGGCAAAATCCTCGACGTGGAGATCATTTTCAACGAGCGGGGCTCCAAGGTAGGAAAAGAACAAAAAACGTCGCCCCTCAAACGTCTCCGCGTTTGTCAAGAAAAGAAAAAAAAAGAAGAGATTTTGGGGCGAGAGCTTCACTGGCGTTTTTCTTTTCTTCTTGCCTTTCTCTTTTTTCATACCCTTCTCCCTCTCTGCCACTGCTTTTGTTTCTCCACCCCCCTCTCTCCTCTGCTCGCAGGGCTTCGGTTTTGTAACGTTTGAGTCGAGTGCGGATGCGGAGAGGGCCAGGGAGAAGCTTCACGGTACGCTGGTTGAAGGACGCAAAATCGAGGTAAGCCGGCACCCTCGAAACGGTGGCCATTTTCTCCTCTGTCTCCCCCTCCATTTCCAACAGTGACAGAGAAGCGCACATAATGGCTGTTTCTGCCCCAGAGAAGGTTTCCGGCCGGACGGCTGTTTTGTGTTCAGCTCTACCCCGTCCCCCCCCCCTCACCCCCCCTTTGGCTTCACTATGGCATGGTGCAGTGGCGCCGCTCGCACCGGCGTCTCTTTAGGCGGCACTTCCTGTTGATGTTGTCATTGTCGATGTTACCGTCGATGTTGTGGGCTGTCCATTGCACCTTGATCTTTAAGCCGTGTGGTTTGCTAAGCTTGCTGGGTGGAGTGGCTACACAACAGGCATGGCTGGTGAGACGTCCCCCACGACACGATTGCTGACAATTTCCGCTTCCTGTCACAGCATGGAGGATCTTCTCTTTTGATTTTTGATTTTCTCTCTCTCTCTCTCCCTTTCTCTCTCTCTATCTCTGTTTTCCCGCACCTTTTCCATCCCCCATCATCACTTCTTCCATGATCATGACGAGTGGCTGTTTTTTGATTTGTGGTTGTGTTTTATTATTTTATTTTTACGACTGGACCGGTAGTTTAAAGCCTCTGTTGTTTTCCTCTGGAAAAAAAAAAGAGAAATAAAAGTGCCTGCTGGTGTCTGTGAGAGGCTACTGAATGTTGCATGGTTGGTACATAAGGTCAGATGTGGCCATGGAGTTTTTTACACTCTCACTTTAACATTGCGCGGCTTCCACGAGGGGGTGGCGGCTGGGGGGGTGGGTCACAGTTTTTTGGATGTTTGCCGTGTTCAGAGATCGATGCATGACGGGAGCATTTTCAGTGAGGTTCGGAATGGGGCGGGGACTGCTGTGAGAAAAGTGTGGTGTCATCTCTGATTCTTTTTTTTTTATCTAGATATATTTAAAAAAAATAAGAGTTTAGGATTTGCAAGATGGATGGTTAAAAAAAAAAAAAGAAAAGAAAAGAAGCACACACTTGCATCCACCACTCTTGGAAAAAAAAGAACGCCAGATCTCATGGAAGTGCATTTTGTCGTGACGACTTTTCTTTTCATTTGTCCGCATGAGCTCAGCCCTCAGTTGCAAATGGCCTTGGGAGATCCGACGCATCATGCTTTTTTGCCATTTGCTCTGGCTCTCGATCTGAAGTCACTGCTTTTTCTTTTCTTGTCCTTTCTCTGCTTTTTCTTTTCTTGCTGCTGAAGTCTCTTCTGCATGGTCTCTTTAAATGTCTGCACTCTTCTCTGTGTCTGTGTGTTGGTGTGCGGAGATGAAATAAAACAAAAAAGAAAAAGGAGGGGCGGGGAAAGAAGTGATGAGGATGCCATAGATAACTGTTGTTTCCTCTCCTTTGTTTTTTTCTTATATCGGTTCTTTTCCATCTCTTTCCACTCTTTTTCACCAGGCCAGTCAGTGTCTGTCTCTCCCAGTTTGTCTCGACATTTCTGCTCTACACCCCCACCACCACCACCACCCCCCCTCCTACCCAATATCTGTCCATTTCCTTGTTCCAGGTTGCAGACAGGCAGCATAAACTTTGGAGAGTGGGATTAAGTCTGATTTATTTAGTCAGATATAGGAGTAGTGTCCCCAGAATGAATTTACCCCCCCCATTTGATTGCTCCTCCTCAAATCCTTTCTGATCTGTGTTCGTGGTGGGTTTTCTGAGTCTTAGCTGTTTATGACCCGGCCGATACGTGTAGGTGACTGTCACATCACTTCCTCTCTACCACAGGGTGGGGGTTTGCTTTTCATTACCTCGTTTTGTTTGTTCTTTTTTTTCTTTTTCTTTTCTTCCTTTAAAAAAAAAAAAAAAATTGGGTTCATCATTTCTTTCTTACATATATTTTCTCTATTTCCCTGATGATTTTTGTATGTTGTTGTTGTTGTCAGTCTCCACGGTAACTGCTCGCGTGTCCTCACGCCGTTTCCCTGGCAACGGTAAGTCGTGTACACATGGCATCATCTTTGAATGACCCCCCCTACCCTCCCCCTCTCCCCCCTCCACCCCCATCCGTCCAAACAAAAATAAATAATATGAATAAGAAAAAAAAACAATTAAAAATCACGGCTAATTAAAGGACTCCTCTGCTGAAGGGAGCTCGATTGACTGACTCGTAGAACCTGATTGGCTAATCCGGTGGTTGGTTGGTTGGTTGATTGACTGATTGATTGGGGAGGTGGTGAACGAAACTATTAAGCGATTAGCCATTGACCGCATGGCATTATGATAAGGCCACTTGTGTAACTGAATGTACTGCATCAATCTGCAAGTGCAACAACTCTTGACTACCACTTCTTATGCATTCATTCCAATCACCTCTCTAACTGCATTCGGCATTTAATTCCAGGGCTGTATCCTGCATGGTTTACTCTCTTTCTTAGTCATCTCTATGACGTCATGTCAGTTACTATGTCATCATCTCTCTGTGTCATGTGTCGGCCATAAAGCTGCATTTTTTGCACCTTAGTGGGGACGGCATGCTGGAGCATGAGTGTTATGTTAGCTTTACTGGAGAGGGGATAACAGCTGTCTGTTCATGGCGCGCCGCAGAACTCGGATCTCTCTCCGTACCCATGTGTTAGACTGCTGTCAAGGTGCAGACCCCGCTTTCAAATTCCACACGCACCAATATTTCAAAAGAAAAACATTTTAAGCGAAACCACGTATGTTTTTACGAGGAAAGAAAAAAAAAAGAAAAAAAGCATCCCTGAGATCATTCTTGGCAGACGGGAATGTTTCCGGCGGTGACAGTTTTTTCCTTGTCACTGCTCTGATTTCTGTGACGAGGTGTCTTTGATTTACTTGGGGTGGGGGGGGTAGATGTGTTTGGTTCTGGATAGTGCGTGTTGGTGGTTGTGTGCTACAAGGTGTTTCTGGTGTGCGACACTGATCTGAAAAAATGCCTGGCAGTGTTTCACTGCTACGGTTTCATTTGGTATTTTAATTTCTGTTACCTTTTTTTTTTCTTCTTTTTTTTCTTTTTTTTTTGAGGAATGATATTTGCATCCCCCATCCTCTCTCTCTCTCTATCTCTCTCATCATTGCCTCTCCTCTCTCCGTGTTTATTCTTGCACCATTCATCCTCTCGCCATCATTGCCCATGTACAGTTAGATCCAATGCAGACAAACGCTCAGATGTGTGTTGTGTGTGTGTGTGTCGGTTGCATCTTATTGTTTGAGCCTTCCTTAGAAGGACTGCATATTTGGATGGATTGTTGCCTCTCTCTTCGCCACATTGTCTGTATTTTTCTGTCTTTCACGTGGACTGGCATCTCTTTCTGCATCCCTCTATTTCTGTCTTTCCTCTGTTGTTCTCTCTCCCTCCTCTCTCTCTCTTCTGTATGATGTGCATTCGATTGGGAGGGCGTCCAACCTCTTTTCGATCGGTCTCTTGCTGCATTTGATGCTTGCTGATTGGCTGGTTTTGCTCACCTCTGGAGATGTGATGCGCTCCTGATTGGCTGTGTGTAATTTGTGTACAAACTCTTCTTTCGTAGTTTGGTTTGTTTTTGTTTGTTTGTTTTTTGCATTGTGGTAAACTGATGAATCTGCTGCTTAATTCACCTTCTTTTCCCCTCCATGATTTAGCAGCAAAAACAAAAAAAAATGGCCTTGGATTTCCTTTTGAATGCTTTTGCTCTGAAATGTTTTTTGCTGGTTTCTTTGTTCTCTATGGCAATGGTTGCATCGTTTTGTGCGCAAAACCGCCCGACTACTCACCAGGATCCTCGTTTTTCTTTGTCTTTCTTCTTCTAAAGAAGCGCATGCATCAAACACCATTGGCTGCTCATCAACAGAATTAACCTTGTCATGAGTAAAGAACCGTTAGAACATTAAGGACACCTCTCTGGAAAAAGCAGAAGTTTACCATGACGGCTCCCGTCTTCACTCTGTTTACGATAGATTCGACCCTGCAGTGTTTTTTTTAGATCGCCAACACTTGTGAAGCCACTAGGAATGTGTTAAATTGGATCTGAACTTTTTGTTGTTTGGTGTGCAGGTCAATAACGCCACAGCCCGAGTGATGACAAACAAGAAGATGACCACGCCGTATTCTAACGGCGAGGGCCTGGCAGCGCTGCCATACGGTAACGCATCTCGCTCACTGAGGCCTTTTTGAACAAATAGACGATTTTTTGGGGTTTTTTTCCTACTTCCCGAGTTTGTGTCAAAACATGCCCATTTTGCACAAAACCCTATGAAAATAAGTAGGGTTGCATAGAATTAGAACTGTCCAAGGTTTCGTATTTGTAGATTTGTATTCTTATTGGTAGGTCAAGGGACTTGCTTATGTGAGAGTAAATCTTGTGTTCAACATGGTTGTTGTTACCAATACAAATCTACAAACCCAAAAACTTTTGACAGTTATCCAACTCCATTGGGTTGGAAATGGGAAAAAAAGGTCTACTTTTGCTCACCTAGAATAGTAGATCATCTCCAACTTTAGAGAAAATATATTCATTATTTACTCTGCATTAAAAAAATTATTAGATTCCTTAACTATAATAGGCCCTCATCATAATTTTGTGTTACATATTTTCCACTACATTGTGGGATTTTGTTGTGTATAAGTACTTATTATATTATTTGAATGATTTTTACAGTAAAAAAGAGCACTTTATAGCCAAGATCTACAGTTAACATAAACACTTATCTTCAAAACATGATGAAATGCGTCCAGATGAAATGCGTAATGTAGGTTAAAAAAAACTCACGAATTGTTAAAAAAAACAAACAGCTAAAGCCACCTCTGCTTGAGCTAAGTTTGAGCTTTCCCAGGTGAGATTGTACGAGGCTCACTAGTGGCTGATGGATGGGAGGCCACCAACCAGGTGGCAAGTTTATAAAGCCCTAAAATACAGCAGATATAAGCAATGACATGCATAAGAGGTCAATTCTGGAACCTGCATTGTGTAACACGTGTTTCATGTTTCTGTGCAGCTCTCCAAATCTGATTTGCTCTGATTTTAAAAGAAGTTTCCTCACAAAAGTTGCTTTGATTTTTTGTCGTTTTCGTTCATCATAGCTGGTTGGAAGTTGAGTCCCATGGTTGGAGCAATGTACAGCCCGGAGCTCTACACAGGTGAGGCACCAAGTGCAAGCTTAGCTTTTTATGTATGTTTTTTTGATGAATTTTCTTTTCGAGGAACAAAAATTTGGTCATCACAGTCAGACGTAGATTTAGACTTCCTTTATTGTCATTGTACAAAAAACACAAGTTGAATTTTGACAACGAAATGTCGATTACTTGGCTAGCAGTGTGATAGAGCTAAGACCTTATTCCTACTTAATAAATATGTTTTCTATATCTAAGATCTAGATATATACAGTGTCAAAGCATATATATACATATTATTGCGCAGAGTTATTACAAAAGAAACATCAATGAATATTGCACTGAGTTGATTGCAAAAAGAAACGATTGAGTTGAAGACAGAGCTAAACTAAGGTGCGTGTATTGTCCATGTCCATGGGGGGAAGTTTTAGTGTGTGTGTGTGTGTGTGTGGGGAAGGAGGAGTGTTATGTTGGGGGGGAAGGAAGAGTCATAATCGAAAGTTACAATCGGGCTCTTTTGTCAAAAGTGAGATAAAATACCTTTGTCGGATCCTGTACTGTACTCCTGTGATGAATTATAGAGCGAGGGGTTCTGTCTGAACTCCGTCCCGTCTTTTTTTCTGTGTCAGTGCCAGGGTTTCCGTACCCGGCAGCAGCAGCAGCTGCCGCCTCCACGGCCGCCACCTTTCGGGGCGCTCACCTCCGCGGCCGCGCCCGACCCGTCTACAGCGCCGTCAGGGCGGCCGTCCCGCAGCCCGCCATCCCCACGTACCCCGGGTAAACACCACAGCGACAGCACAACTCTCTAAATGAGAGGAAGAAAAAAAAAAGCAGCCGGAAACTATGAATAATGAAAAGTAGTCAGCTGCTTTCTTTTTAAGAGCATGGCTTCACTTATTACTGAGTAGGCTTTAAAGAATCATGCATGCCGTGCGTTTGACAAGCTTTTTTTTTACTGAGGTGTTGACTTTGATAGTTTGCCGAGCCGAAATACCATTTCCTTGTACCTCCAAACATTTACGTTGAGACAATCCCTCAGAGTGTTTCAGTTTGAGTGGAGTCAGCGAATTTCCCCCCCTCGCTGGCTGTAGTATCACTTAAAAGTCTGAGCATCTGTATACAAAGAGGTGGTATTTTGTCTTGCATGTTGCACGGTGTGTAATAATCTCACCTTTCTTTCTCTTCTCTCTCTCACAATCTGTTTGGCACCGTTTTCTCACCCCCCCCACCCTCCCCTCTCCCCCCTTCAACCATCACCCTTGTTTGTTTTTCTCTGCACTGCCCACACGGTGGCGCATCACACCATTTTCTTTCCCCCCCTTGTTTTTTTTCCCCCTTCTTTTTGACATTCCACCACCACTCCTATGTACTCTCCACTTTTCCCCCCCCCCCCCCCCCCCCCCCCC